AGGAAGAGTTATAATATTCAGTGAAAAAAAGACATATTTAATAAATTAAGGTTTAATTTTATTACTTTTATGTAGGGGTCAATGATGACGAGATATTATTCGTGAAGGAACTTTACAAGGAAGGCATACAAAAATAGTTGTTAGAGGGTTAAAATTAGGAATAATTTTGTTTATAGTTTCTGAATTAATATTTTTTGTATCTTTTTTTTATCATGAACAGATTATTCTATTTTAAATAAAAATTGGGAAGGAGCAAAATTTAGTTTATTAATAACAATTTATTTAGGAGGGTTATTTACTTGTATTCAAATATTTGAATATAGGAAATCAACCTTTATATTTAGTGATTCAATTTTTGGGTCAATTTTTTTTAACAACTGGGTTTCATGGGATTCATGTTGTTGTAGGTTCAATTTTTTTTACTAATTACTTGGTTTCGTTCAGGAAAATTTCATTTAAGGTCATTGCATCATTTTGAATTTGAGAGGGCTTCTTGGTATTGACATTTTATTGATGTAATTTGAATTATTGTTTATTCAATAGTATATTGATGACATTTTTAAAAATTTTATATAAAATTTATTATGATTTGATAAGAGTTTTAATTTTTTTAGTTATATAAATATATGTAATTATTTTTAGGAATTTAATTTTAATTTTTTTGGGTGTATTAATTTTATGTATTAATATGATTTTGTTAAAAAAGAGATTTAAATTTCGGGGGAATGTTTCAACTTTTGAGGGTGGGTTTGATTCTTTATCATTAATTCGGGTACCTTTTTCAATTCAATTTTATTTGATTAGAATTATTTTTTTAGTGTTTGATGTAGAAGTTACTTTAATTTTACCAGTGGTGAAATTATTTAAACTAAGGAAGTTGAATTTTAAATTCATTTTTTATTTTATTATAGTAATTTTATTGGTGGGGGTTTATTATGAATTAAAAGAGGGTTCTTTAAGATGAATTTAAGTATTGAATAAACCTAAAAGTTAGGATTTAATTTCGACTTAAATATATAGTTTGGTTTAAAACTTATTCATTTTTTTGGTGGGGGGAGTAATTAATTGAATAACTAATTAAGTAACTAATTAAGTCACTAATTAATGTTAATTCCAAACTTTTATAATTTATTTTGTAATAATTTTAGAATGTTATTGATTTTATGTTTTTTAAGTATGGGAGTTTATATAATAATATTAAGGGTGTGATCTTCTAATTCAATATATTCAATATTGGGAAGTATTCGGGCGGTATCTCAGTTAATTTCATATGAAGTTAGTTTAATTTTACTTTTATTAAGTAGATTAATATTTATTGAAAGTTTTGATTTAAAAATTTTTATTAAAATACAAGATAAAATTTGAATATTTTGATTTTTAAGTATAATTATATTAATATTTTTAGTTAGGGGGTTCAAACATCAGACGGGTCAAAAATAAAAAAAATAGAAAATAACTTCCAGTGAGACATTTGTTTATTAATATATAAAGAAGATTTTGGAAATTTTCGAGTCAATTCATTCACAACTTTTAAAAATATAAGTGTTTTTTGAAAAAGCGGGTGGCGCGCTAGCGAGTCGTCGTGTATCATGATGAGGAAGCTAAATGGTCATGAAATGAACAATTTTTTAACTTGTTTATAAGATACCTTGTCACTTTTCATTTATGGGTTCTTTTCATACCTAAAAACCACAAACGACTTGATCTAGCAAAACGGCCAGGCACGGGTTTTTTTTGGGTCCTAGTTTTCAAAAATGTTGGACTTTTTTGTGGGTCAAAAAAAATGGAATTTTGTCGGACGCTGTAATAATTCTTCCGCAGATGAAGCTGCTTCCAAAATCCCAATTCAAATATAATGGTATAAAGACCCACACGGCCGCCGTTAGCCTGTTCCCGACCGACCCACAGGTGGGAGGAAAATGGAATTTACTGTTCGAAAAAGTCCAACGCCTTCATTTTTGAACCGATTTAATAATTTTTTTTTAAACCAAAGATTATAAAATTTAGAAGAAAGTTGTCGAGCCCGATTTGTAATTTTTTATTTGTTTATATTAATTTATTTATTGCAAAGTTTAACAGAAGTATCAATTTTTAAGAAACAGCGATCTTCTGAAACAATAAGTATGTGCTACAGCTAAAAACTGGTTAAAAACAATGCTACTCTCTAAACGGTGAAAAATTACATAAGTCAAAATTTACATGTTATAAACAAATTATTGTTAACAAATAATGACGGTTACAACAAATTGTTTATTTCATTAAATCAGATGTCAGTTTTTAAAAATTCAAAATAGCGGATCCAATATGTCGGACATTTTTTTTAATTTATTCAAATTCGCTTGAAACTTGTTACTCGAAGGATTATGGGGTCGCTGATTACGAATCGGATTTTAGTTTTTAAAAATTAAAAATGCCGGATCCAATATGGCGGAAATTTTTTTTTAATTTACTCAAATTCGCCTGAAACTTGTTATTTGGGGCACTGAGGAAACTGGATTATACGGAGTATTAACTGGTTAATACTGTTTATGATATTTTCACATTGACTATTCCACAATTAACCTGCCTTATAAAACTCATTTACCAAGAATTATCCTTTGAGATTAATCCTGGTATTAATTTGGATTATAAAATAAATGTCAGAGTAGTTGTGGTTAAGTATTTAAAATTTTATTAATAATATTAAATCATTAATTATATTAATATTTTGCATACGAGAAATGTAACGGATGATTTTGAAAAGTTAAGAAATAATAATTAATTGAAATACATATAAAAATTGTACTTAATTAAATAAATTAAAATTATAATCAATATCAATTTATTAATTAATTTATTATTAATTATGACAATAATTTTTTTTAATTGTCCTATAGTCAATGTGAAAATATCATAAACGGTATTAATTAGTTAATATTCCGAATAATACAGTTTCATCTGTGCCCCCAAAAAACAAGTTTCATGCGAATTTGACTAAATTAAAAAAAAATTCCACCATATTGGTTCCGGCATTTTGAATTTTTAAAAACTAAAATCGGATTTGTAATCAGCGACCCTAAAACCCTTCGAGTAACAAGTTTTAAGCGAATTTGAATAAATTTAAAAAAAATGTCCGCCATTTTGAATTAATAAAAACTAACATCGGATTCGTAATCAGCGACCACAAAAACCCCCAAATAATAAGTTTCAAGCAAATTTGAGTAAATTCAAAAAAAATGTCTGCCATATTGGATCCGCCATTTTGAATTTTTAAAAACTGACATCGGATTTGTAATCAGCGACACCAAAAACCTTCGAGTAAGCAATTTCATGAAAATTTAACAAACCCTTTAACGAAATAAACAATTTGTTGTAACGCGCCTCCCTTTCAGCGTGTATATCTCATTCAATTTTCACCGGATCATCTTTAAATTTTTTAGACATGTTTCTTACAAAATGTACTTTAAGAAAATGCAAAAAAATCGATTTTTTGAAAGTTACAACTGCTAGTGCCCCCTTAATAAAGAATATATTAATTTGTTATTAAAGACACGCAAGGAAATGTTTTTGTTATGTTTCGATATCATAATTTTTAGTTAAGCCAGAACAATCAGAAAACTTTAATTATACCTAATAAAATGACGCACATTGTGCGGTATAAAGGAATGATATGGTTTATCGTTTTTTGAGGGTGAAAATTCCACGAGAATCACATACGTACCGTTCATGATGTACAACTGTTTACTATTGCTTTTTTAAATAATATTATATTGTTTATAGTATGACAAATTTAGGTAATTACACGTTTAACACTTGTTTTAAAATGTCAAAATAATATTCTCAATATTTAAATATTATTTTAATTAAACATATAACGCACATGTCACTTTTCGAAATCAGAATTTAGTTAAGTCGACGTAAGTTTTTTATTTCGAAATTAAGACTCAGATTCGGCTATGTTTTCGATAACAGAATAGTACATTGCGTAACAAGTGTGAACTAGCGGCCTTTTTGGAACGAGCGCTAAGCTTTTGAAACTCTTCTGTGAGGGCGCCACAGGCTCCCTCACAGACGAGTTACGAGAATGTAGCGCGAGTTTCAAAATGCCGCATGACGTGTTGCGCACAATACTTTTCATAACAAAATCAGAAAAAGGCGTTGATACTAAGATGCATAATAATTATAAAAATTTTTCACAAAAATTACTTACGAGATGGATAACAGAACCACTATTCAGTGGTTAATAAGATAAGAGTTATGTCGCGCGAGGGGTTTCCCCCCCCCACGGGGTCCAGGGGCACCGCCCCTGGACTACAAAAAAACTACAGAAAAACTAACACAAAAGATATTAAAATTTAATTCTTACACAATGTAAAAAACTAAACATAACACCCACATTCAAAACAAATTAAAATATATTATTAAAAACGAAAGTCAAAAAGTCTTCGCGATGCATTGAAATAAATCCTTTTAAGAGAGCTGTCGAATTTACAAAAGAAAATAAGGTTAAGTTAGGCGACGTTGCGTTACAGACGCAGGAGACGGTAAGACTACGAAAGAGTTCTTTTATATTGACACGTCTCTACTGGACGAAATTGTAATTACTCGTGCGTTACGAAAATACGGGAACAAGCACAAACAAAGCTCTTTCTTGAACTCACCTATCATTCAGTGTATTTTCGTAATTTCGTACAATAAAGGACGATTTTACGTCCCCCCACGGAGGTACAAATAACGCTATTTTTATGATTGCGTTATGAAAACACTTAAATCGAGTTATCTAAGGTTTTGTTTTGTATCTAATGCTCGAGCTCAACGCTTCCCACGATTTTTAAACTACTCAACTTGAGTTACCTTAGTAACTCTTCACAAGTATTCTTCAGTATTCTCTCATTTTCTGGGTTTTTATCGATTTTCAATAACTATTTTTTGCAACAAATAGTTAAAATAAAAAAATTTTAATTACATAATCAGACACAAGTCGATTTTTATGATAATTATCATGAAAATTTATTACTTACCCGTATCTGTCAATCAATTGGACACTCCTTCCGGAATATGGATCTCTAGCTACGACGTTGGTTGCAAATATGTCAGCAGGATAAACAGATCTAAATGAATAAAAACTAATTAATGTACTTTTATTTTTTTTTTAATAAGATAAAAGTATATAGTTCCGAAAGCGTCTCACCTCCGATTTTAATGAAACTTGGTAGACTAACGTATTTTGATTCCCTGATTACAAAAATGATAGTGAAAATTGGCGCAAATGTAATTATCATGGTAAAAACCATAAAAAGCACCATAAAATAATGATTTCTTGCGATTATCTCGTAAAAAACGCAAAATTTCGAAAAATATTTCATATAAAAGTTGTAGGTCTGAAAAAACACACATTTTATGTTATATGCATTTTTTTACCAAAAGTGGTCATTTTTCGAGAAAAATCCACAGTATCAGTTTACGCAATTCGATGTACGCGGTTGTTTACTTTTAAGTACCAAATTTTTTTGTAATTATGATGTGCACTGTTTTTTCCGTTATTTTACGTCATGTTTTATGGTTTTTTAGATTTTTCTCGAAAAATAACCACTTTTGGTAAAAAATGCTTTTTTTAAGAGATAATCGCAAAAAACCATGATTTTTTGGTGTTTTTTTTATGGTTTTCACCATGATACTCATGTCACTTTTACGCCAATTTTCTCTTTCATTTTCGTAATCAGCGCATCAAAATACGTTAATATACTTACAAGTACTTAATCTAGTTATGATGTGCATTGTTTTTTCTGTCATTTTTCATGGTTTTTTGGATTTTTCTCGAAAAATAACTACTTTTGGTAAAAAATGCATACAACATAAAATGTGTGTTTGTTGAGACCTACAACTTTTATTTAAAACATTTTTTGAAATTTTGCGTTTTTTACGAGATAATCGCAAAAACCAATGATTTTATGGTCGGAAGTAAGATCGGAGGTAAGACGCTTTCGGAACTTCACCCAAAATGTTCTTTTGTTATTCCCCATAACAAAGGAATTTTTTTCAAAATTATATAAATAATCAGTAGTTAGAATGGCGATTATAATAAAAAGTAAATATTCTACAATGGACTGGGAGGAGCGTTAAATATGCAATAGTTGCCCTCGTACATTTTTGTCTCCTATTGGCGCCATGTTTTGCTATGCACATGAATATAAACTTCTGTAAGTATTAACACACATTCGAATTTGTTTTGAAAATTATGGAAAGGGAAATATCCAGAAGTTTATACACAGGAGCGCCAACTACGTTAGTGGAGGTTCGGCAGTACAATTATGTCTCACAAACTGTCCAACTCACAAAGTATTTGTCCTCACAAACTGACCAAATTCTATCTATTATATTATATTATATTATATTATATTATATTATATTATATTATATTATATTATATTATATTATATTATATTATATTATATTATATTATATTATATTATATTATATTATATTATATTATATTATATAACAAACATCTATTTTCTTTTTAAACGAGTTTTAATTTTCTGTTATTATTACAAAACACATTTAAAACTTTTTCGGATAAAACTTTGTCTTTAACTAGTGAATTTTCAATGTTTATTATGGCTGTATCGGAAAATCAATCGTGTGTCATAGTCGTCCTCAACCAATTTTTGATTCGACGCATACTTGAGAAGCTTCTTTCGCATCCGGCCGAGGTAATGGGAATTGAAATCGCTACCTTGAGCAGTTTGTGATAATTGGAATTTTTGTGGAGCTTAGTTGCAGATGAGTTATTCATAGAACTTAATGATCAGGGATTTTATACGCAGAGCTATGAGAATGACTTCCTGATTATTGTAAGATGTCTCTCGTTAGATACACTCTTAGAATTGACAGAGAGAGCATTAGAGATCGTCAAGTGATCGAACTGGCCTCTCTGTTAATCCAGACAAGACGGATATTGTAATCTTTACTAGGAAATACAAGGTTCCCACTGTGAAAAATCCTATATTTTATGGGAAAAAAGTGCCTTTTTCCGATTCGGTTAAATATCTAGGAGTGATTCTGGATAAGAAGCTGATCTGGAGAAAGCACTTAGAGTATAAGTATAGTAGGTTTTGCACTATTTTTTGGGTTTTCAGAAGGGCAATTGGATCATCTTGGTGTCTAAAACCGGATATGGTTTAGTGGCTCTATCGTATGATCCTGTTACCAAGGTTTCTGCATGTATTAATTGTTTGGTTGATTAGAAGCCAGTTGAAAACGGTGGAATTGAAACTTGAACAACTACAAGCAATGGTGTTTAGCGGGATTACTGGCGCAATGAGAACCACGCCAACTCCAGCGTTATGTTTCTTGCTAGCGGAAGAACCCCTACACATCTTAACGGTTAAGAAGGCTGCTCTCACATTGAGCAAATTTCAAGCACAGGGGAAATGGAGAGATAGGAAAAAAACTTCCGGCCTCTATACAGAAGATTCCAGAAATCAATATGGGACAGGATAGAATGGTCAAAAGAGTGAAATTAAATCCTCGCTTTAAGACCATTATTCCTTTGAGAAAAGATTGGGAAAAGAGCTGTCCACTTGGAGGTGAAATATGGTATACGGATGGATCTAAGATGGAAAGAGGCACAGGATCGGGGGTATACTGTAAGTCCAATGCCACTAAAGTGACATTATCTTTAGGTAATTATACCACGGTCTGGCAGGCAGAAGTCTGCACTGAAATGACTTGCGCAATGATTTGCCTCGAAAAACGAAAATCTGGCAAGAGAATTAATATCCTTGAGTAATCCGACTATAGAGTCAAAACTAGTTTGGGTATGCCATGAGAGAGAGTGAGCGGAGACTACTGTAGGTAGTCAGCCAAGGCTCTGTTAGAATTAAAACTCAACAGGGGCTTTGCCGAGTCCCTTCTAAAATTCAACAAGATCAGAGTAAGAGCAGTGGTCAGGCTGCTCACAGAACATGGCCTCCACCTAGGTGCAGATTGTGTGATGCAGAAGAGGAATCTTCGACTCATATTTTATGTCACTGTCCAGCTTACGCTGCAGTGAAACATCAATGCTGGAGTCATGCCTTTGTCGACCCAGATTGGATTCGAGACCTCTCGGTAGAAGAGTTACTGGACTTTTGGAATAGGACAGGACTCTAGGGAGCTCAACCCGGCTGACAAAACTTGTACATGTTCATCAATGAACTTGTACATTTTCTTGTACATGTTCAAGTAATATTCTTGAACCAGTTCAGCATCCGGCATTGAGACATGTTCTTGAACCAGAATTTGTATAAGATCCTGGATAAGAAAAAATATACTTGTACAAAAAATGTACATGTTCTTATACATATTTTTTGTGCAGGTTTCATGTTCAAGTACTTTTACATGAACACGTTTATGTTCTTGTACAAAAACATTTGTTTAAAAATGTTTTTGAAAAAAATTTGAAATTTTAATAAATTATATTTATTAAGACTCTTCACTTATGCATGCTAAAAATTATTGCGCAGCTGTAAAGGCTTAAGAAAACTACTGCGCAGCCTTTAAAGTTTTTAATTTTTAGTTTAAACGACATAAATGAACATGTACAAGAAAATGTTCATGAAACCTGCACAAAAAATATGTACAAGAACATGTACATTTTCTTGTACAAGTTTGTCCAGGATCTTGTACAAGTTCTGGTACAAGAACATGTCTCAATTCCGGATGCTGAACTTGTTCAAGAACATTACTCGAACATGTACAAGAAAATGTACAAGTTCATTAATGAACATGTACAAGAATTTGTACATTTTCTTGTACAAGTTTTTTCAGCCGGGAAATAAACTATTTCGTACAAAGTACTTAATAATAGTGATATAAATAGTCATATAAACTATTTCGTACAAAGTACTTAATAATAGTGATATAAATAGTCATATAAATGCCCATATAAGGTGTGTTGAGTAACGCTAAGTTAAGCTACGATGTTTAATGTAAAACAAAGACAAAATCAATTGTATAGTAGTTGTCGTAGACTGGAAATAAATCTAGGTAACGAAGGATCAAAAAAGTTTAGCGTGTCAGAAACAGCGTTTGCCTCCCTACTTAATCTAACTACCAAAGAGTTATTTGCATAATTTGTTTTATGAAATTTTACAGCGAATAGTGTGGTATATCTAGATGATCTGATTGGTACAGACAAATTAATCGTTGACAGAAGTGTTAAGCAATTTAAATAGCCGTTTAACGATTTAAACCAAAAAATTAAATCTGAGTATAAGAATCTTGTCCCGATTTTAGGCATATTTAAACGAGTTCGTAAATCATCGTAGTTGATCGTAGTTTAAAACTAATAATATATAGGTAAGTGTTTATCATGATGAGGAAGCTAAATGGTCATGAAATGGACACATTTTTAACTTGTTTTACAATATTTTGATTACTTTTTTGAATTTAATGTCTAACCTTGACTAAACCTTTACCGAATTTAGTCAAATCTCTGTTTTCACAATTCACTAGGATAATATTACGTAAAAATATTGTTGCAATATTAACTCAATGTTGCGACTCATGACATAAAATATCAAGCGAATAATAAAACCATTATTCTTATTAAACTATTTATGTTTTAAAAATCAAAATTATTACCCGTCTTGAGCTTCTAGTCTAAAAGTCAATGGATCACCAACAGCAATTGTTGTAGTTGGTCTACCTTGATAAAGAATTAATAAACGAACACGATTATTTAATGTGTTTTCAGCTGGAAGATATTCGATTGGTATTGGTGCTCCTGATCTCCTGAAAATAGAAACATTTTATTACTGATGGGGCAAAATGTATACAACAGTGAAAAAAAAATTCTAATTATACATAGAACTTTAGATTACTAGGGGAAAGGGGTCAATAATTTGAGAATCAGTCTTCCGTGCCACAGTCTTATTAGGAACATTTGTTACATTATTAAATATAAAGCTGGAGTGGGATTGTAAATACCGACAGCGCTACGAAGATTTCGCTACGTAGCGATTCAAAGCTACATTCACTTTAAAAAATTTTCTTGCTATCGGGTGACTAAAAAAATTGTATTATTTTGATAGATTTAGGTTGGTACAATTGTTTTTCTGTGTATTTTTTTCTCATATTTGCTTTATTTTATAATTTAACAATTTTTTTTTAATCAAGAATGTATCAAATTCATAAGGATTTCCTACGATGAAGAAATGAAGCAATTAAAATAAGTATCTAAAAGTCTAACAAATTTTTCAAGTGTAACACTTCAAATCTCAAAAGTTATAAAATAGGCAATTCGAGGCAACGATAATTATTAATATTATTATATTAACAATTTTATTTCCAATTTCTACCATTATAAAAAATCAAGAAACTAATTTAACTTTATCCAATATTAATAAACTATTTACTTTTCTTTTTTATAGTAATAATTAAATATTTATTGCATTTATGTTTATTATCTTTTTCATAGGATTAAAAATTTCTATTAGGCATTATCTAAAAAAGGAAAAAAATTTAATTTAAAAAATTTTGAAGATATAACCTCAGAAATAGAATTTTTGTTCTCACGCAAGGGTTCACTAAAAAAATGTATAGGTCATTTTTTGTGAGTTAAAGAGTTTTTCAAAAAATGAAAATTTAAATTAATTTAATTTAAAAATAATTAATTCATTTAATTTAAAAAAATTTACCAATTTTTAAATTTAGGCTGGTAAAGAATATCCTAATTTTAAATCTCATGCAATTATGATTTTTAATTCTTGCAATAAGATTAATTTTCTTAATTTTTATTTATTAAATTAAATTAAAAAATTTATTAATAGGTTATTGTAGTAAAGATGTTGAAATTTTTTGGATTTTTTATATAGTAGTAAGATGTTGTGTTGTTTTAGGTATAATCCATATTTATTGTTATTTAATACACATTAGCTTTCGCCCATCTACGCTGGGCCTCTTCAGATATCATTATAACAATGTTAATGTCAACAATGTTAAGTAATGTTAACCATTACCATTACCAATGTTAACAATGTCAATCAATATAACAATATTCATCACAAAAAATTTTTAAAAAATTCTTTTTACATAACAACGTTTTTTAAAATATGTGTTACATGAGAAGAAAAAATCCACATTGTTAAAATGATATCTGAAGAGGCCCACGTAGATGGGCGAAAGCTAATGTGTATTAAATAACAATAAATATGGATTATACCTAAAACAACACAATATCTTACTACTTAATAGGTTATTTGTAATATTAAAGTATAATTTATTTCCTCACTAGTTAATTATTTTATTTGAAACTAACAGTTGGGAAACATGAAGTTGGAGAATTGATTCCACCTTCTTGTTGTATTTGTTTGCTACGTAGATAAAATATTTTAGGAAATTGACATGAATTTCACTAAAAATATGTAAGTTTTTAATTCTAAATAACGAAAAGCGCTAAATAACGACTAGCGCTATTAGTAATCCCACTGCTGGGGTTTACAAAAAAATCAACATATTATTGCTTGCAATCTTCAAAAGTTATATACATTATCGTATATAACAAAAATGTAATTTACATATTCAGTCAACTTTCGCGTTAAACAATTTACTCAGACAGCACGTAAGCTTGAGGCAAGCTTGCCGCGCAATATTGCCAACCTTGTACGGCAAGCTTGCTCAAGCTTCAAATGTCCCACCAAGCTTGCATGGTAAGCTTGCCGAAAGATTGCAGTGTAAGATTATCGCAAGATTGCATGATAAGCTTACCGAAAGACTGCAGTGTAAGGTTACTGTAAGATTGCATAATAAGATTATCACTAGCTTGCACAGTAAGCTTGCACGATAAACTTGTGGCAAGGTTGGTGCAAGGTTGACAATAACCTTGCCCAATCAGCAAAGAAGTTTGCATTGAAAATGAGCACTATGCGCACTTGCAATCACAAGCACTTACGGCTAAGCAGTAAATTTTTTTGACCTTCCAGGAACTGGTGCTCAATGTAAATACAAAAATAAATTTCCTCCCTCCAAAAATTTTTTTATTATATTCCGCAAGCTTGCTGCAATCTTTTGTGCTGATTGACAAGGGTATTTGTCAATCTTGCACCAACCTTGCGACAAGCTTACTGAGCAATCTTGCGATAATATTATTGAGCAATCTTGCAGTAATCTTACACTGCAATCTTTCGGTAAGCTTACCATGCAAGCTTGGGTCAAGTGTGACATTTGAAGCTTACAGTAAACTTGCCGCAAGATTGCTGCAAGCTTACGTGCTATCTTGGTACTCACATGGGGACATTTTAATATTTTAATAATTTTTTTCTGAACCCAGCGCTTCAATACTCCCAAGTTAACCTTTTAACATTCAATGAATCTTCGGGGAATTATCGGTGCTGTGTGGGAAAGTATGCAAAAGTTGCCTCCGCATATATTAAAATAATATTTGCACTATATATTGCTACTCATGTGAGTATAAAATTCTGAAAGTATGAACCCATAATTCAAATTTTTATGGGTGTTTTGGAGGGGGAAAGAAAAATAAAAAACTCATTTTTCTCGAAAAATATTAAGAGGATTTTAATAAAATTTAAATACGTTATAAACATAAGTAAGACAAATTAGAAAAAAAAATTTGAAAAAAAGTCAAAAAATTTTAATTTTGAAATTAAAAAAAAAATTTTGGAGTCATTTTTATGGTCACCTTATATTGTCCCCTTTAACATATATTTTTGACAAATTTTTAAAAAATCTGCTTTTGGCGAAAAGATTTTTTTTCAACCCTTTCCACAGCAACGCGATATGCTGGTAATCACGACTGGTCGGAATGATGTTTTATCAAAATTGTCGAGCACCTCTGATTATTTTTTTTGTAATTGGTAGTTCAAGGTGCCAAGAATTGAATTCAACAATTTTTAAAATTGAAAACAAATGACCCACCCTTTAAAACAGCATAAAACCAGTAGAAATTGAAAACATCATGTTTTTCGAGAAAAAAATACGTGATACTTATATATTGACTAGTACCTTCAAATTTTTTTTGTAAATGGTATTGCGGAATGCCAGAAACTTAAAAAGAAATGCCACACTCCTGAAAAAGCATAAAACCAGTAAAAATTGAAATAATGTTGCTTAAATCTGTCAGTCGTTTCTTTGAATGTAACAAAGTCAGTTTGTGGGTGTCAAAGCTTGATTGAAGTTCAAAGTAAGTTCACATTTCATTCTTCATTTTTTGTTCCAAGAAATTTTACATTTTCATTTATCGCAATGTTTCTAAGAATAAAATGTGTTACCTTGAACTCAATCAAGCTTTGAGACACACAAACTGATTTTGTTACACCTAAAGAAACGATTGACAGATTTAGGCTACATTTGTCATTTCATTTTTGTCAATATGTAGCAACACCGTCACTAAAAACAACACAAATTCCACAGCGAGTACAGCATCAATAAGTAACAGTGAAGGATAATAAACAAAATATCACTTCTATGTATTTTTTCTTCACGACAAAGATGATTTTTTTAATTTTTGCTGGTTTTATGCTGTTATGAGAGTTGGAGCATTTTTTTAAATTTTAAAACCTGTTGAACTAACTTCCTGGCATTCCTAACTACTATTTACAAAATAAATTGAAGGTATTAGTCAATACATAAGTACCACGTATTTTTTTCACGAAAAACCTGTTTTTTCTCACTTTTTACTAGTTTTATGATGATTAGAGGGGTAGGGCATTGTTTTAAAATTTTAAAACCTATTAAACTGACTTCCTGGCATCCCGAACTACCATTTACAAAAAAATTTAACAACCTGATGCAGTCAACTGTAAATCATAGAAATGCCTCATTTATTCTTTACATTTTCTATTCCTCTAAATGCATTCCAAATGGCCTGACATATAGTCAATTTATAGAAATAACCACATCTACATTACTCTTTAAATTTCATATTCCTTTCAATACGCTTTGGAAATTTTGAAGCTGGCGATTGAAAGGAATATACATTTAAAATTTACTCTCCAAACATTTAATTTTTTTTCTATTCGCTTCCAAAAAGTTTAAAAATAAATAACTTTGCGCATTAAGAAAAATTAGAAGTTTCAATTCTTTTCTATTGACTAATCTGTACTGGGAATAGAAAAGAATTCATTTTTTTGATATTTAGATGTTTACTGGAGAATTGGGTAAAAACGTAAATTCGCCTATTCAGAATAATTGAAAATGATCAACTGATGCTTAATATATATGCAAAATTTCAATTTCTCTCTCTATTCCTCGCTTCTTAAGGACATAGTAACCTTACATGTATAGTTAGTGTAAGCTTACACATAAATGTTACCATGACCCTAACATGAAAAGCTCAAAAAATTTCGATTGATCTTCTTTATCAAGTAAGTCCATCAATCTTAAAAATTTTAATTTATAATGATATTACTATTATATTTAAGTATTTATATGTATATTTACCCTGCTCCGATGTAATCTGATGTAACTACAGTTTCGTCTGGGCCTCGAAAAAGACAAGTGAGATTAAATCTTTTGTCCTTTGCTGTTTGCACATAGTCAGAAAATTGTACAACCACGATGTTGGTCATTGCGTCACCATACTAGTATAAAAATAGTTCATTAGACATAGGTATAAATATTGGTTAAAATTATAAATATAATTTATAAAATTAATAAATATCCAACTAACTAAAAAAACCGCTGCTAAGTTGAAGAATGAACTTTTTGTGTTCATATAATGAACACTTTGCTTCCCCATGGAGATTTTTTGTTATCAATTTATGGTAACTTATTTAGTATTATAATAATTTTAAAAAGGTGTTATATTTTATTTTTTGGGCGTTTGCAGAGATACATTTTTAACATCAATAACTTCGTAATATTTCACAATAAAAGGTTCAATAATAGATCAATTAAGTCGTTTTTAAATATTCTCTAAGTTGTTCATAATATTTTTAAACATATGATTAAAAATTCCTGAAGTGGATCACTTAAATTAAAGATGTACTGTATTTGGTTGGAAATATAGAAAATTAAAACATTATTATGAATTGAAAAACTGCCATAAAGTATTTTTCAAAAAAATTAATTTTCTCAAAGTTGTAAACAATTGAAGTTTTTTGTAGTCTTAAGTTAAAAAATAAATATCTTAGAACTAAGTGAGCGGATCTTTATAAAAATTGGTATACTTGCACAGAAAATGATACAGTTTTAGATGAAAATTTGAAAATTAAAAATTTTTGATTTTTAATAATTGTTATTGAAAAATTAATTGTTTATTTAAAAAATAAACCATGTTCTCGTTGTCGTAGAAAGTTGATGCAAAGTTTAGTGTAAAGGGAATTTCATAAGGATTCGAAAACCGTTTTAAAATTTCGTGGAACGCAATTAGCAAAAAAGTTATCGCGTTTTTTGTGCGGCGCTGCGTGTCTCTAGCGCGCAAAAATAATAATAATAATAAAGCAATAAATAGTAAAACACAGTAAAACCCGCTACCCCGTTTTACGCGAATTCGGAGATACGCGGTTTTTTATGGTCGCGCGAATTAACTCGTAATTAATTAATAAATAATTTATTGTTATTTTTTTCGTTGTTTTTTTTCATAAAAAGTTAAATAGTTTTATTACTTGATATTTTATTAAACATATATCTTCTAAATTCTAAATTATTGCACTTATTTGATATGAAAACTTAAACCCCGATTTACGCGAATTCGACTTACACGGTCTTCGCTCGGTCCCCCCTATCGCGTAAGTCCGGGGTATTACTGTAATACTAATGGTGTCAATACATTTTTTTAAGTTATGGGCAAAAAACGTTTTTCTCTAATTTTTAAAAATTCAATAACTGTGGATAAAATTTCAAATAAACGTTCGCTAATAGCTCAAAAGATGCGGCTTTAAAAACTCTACCTAACATTTTTTTAAAGTTATGGGCAAAAAACGATTTTTGAAAAATTTTAAAATGCAAAAAAAAAATAGTTTATCTGTATTAACATGGCTCAAAGTACTCTCATTATTTGTCCGCCAGTGAGACCTACAATTTAAAAAAATTTATTCCCTTAGCTCTTATAGTTTTGGAGATATTTAAGAAAATTTAGTGTATATATATATACACACCCACACACGGAACGACATTTTTTAAAAATGTGATTTTTGGATTCCTGAGGTGGAAAGATATAAAGATACATCAAAAAATCAAGTTCGAAAAATTTTGGTATTACAATGCTTCCTTTATGAGGAAGCAATAATATGTTTAAATTTACAATGCTTTTCATCGATGCGTATTATATTATAACTAATTCAAGTTTTCGTACAATAAAATATTAATTTCATCATAATTCTATTCTATAATTTGTCATCTTTACTTATTAAAGTAACTTTTATGTAACTTTGAATTATAAAATTTACTTTTTTTAAATTAAATTGTTAGAATATTTATAGAAGTATAGAAAAAAGTAATAGATGAAGGTGAATACACCCTAGCGGATGGGTTCAACGCGATTTGAACGGAATAACGTTGAAACACCGTTGGGAACACAACGGTCACTAAAAATGTTATTTAAAAAATAAAATATGATAAAGTATTTATTGGTATTTGTAGAAAAAGTGTTCATGAGTAATTTACGACCTTATTTGTATCAATTTAATACGAAATAAGTGAAATAAAAGATAAAATATGGAGCACTGTTATATCAGGGTTTTCTGTCAAATTTTTATATAATTCAATGAAAAGTGTTTTAGATATGATTTTTTAATAATAAAAAAGCAGTGAAAAAGTATAAATTTATTATTTTAAAGCATTTGAAAGGGTAATAAATAGTGAAAATTAATGTGTTTATTGTGTACTATTTGTGTGTATAGGACAACGTTTATCGACAGCAAGTTACAGGTTACATCGGTGAACGCTAGATGGCAGCACAGTAAACAATTTTTTTTGGGTTTGCTGATTACGAATATAATAAATTCAATTATTGTTTAATTGTTTTGATCCGCCATATTGGATCCGCCATTTTGATTTTTGGAAATCTGTTATTATATTCGTAATCAGCAAACCCAAAAACCCCCGAGTAGCAAGCTGATGGAGAATTTGATTATGTTTTAATTTTTTTCTATTTTGTTATATTTTATTTGGTATTTTGAATTTTCGAAATGTTTTCAAATTTGTAATTAGCGACCCCGAAAACCCCCTAGTAACATTTTTTAAAAATATTCAATAAGTCTTTAGCATTTTTTTTTATTTGTCTCTAGATGCATCATCGACGTTCACTGGGTTAAATATTTTTCTTGTCAAAGTCTTATTAATTGTTTACTGTGCTGCCATCTAGCGTTCACCGATGTAACCTGTAACTTGCTGTCGATAAACGTTGTCCTATACACACAAATAGTACACAATAAACACATTAATTTTCACTATTTATTACCCTTTCAAATGCTTTAAAATAATAAATTTATACTTTTTCACTGCTTTTTTATTATTAAAAAATCATATCTAAAACACTTTTCATTGAATTATATAAAAATTTGACAGAAAACCCTGATATAACAGTGCTCCATATTTTATCTTTTATTTCACTTATTTCGTATTAAATTGATACAAGTAAGGTCGTAAATTACTCATGAACACTTTTTCTACAAATACCAATAAATACTTTATCATATTTTATTTTTTAAATAACATTTTTAGTGACCGTTGTGTTCCCAACGGTGTTTCAACGTTATTCCGTTCAAATAGCGTTGAACCCATCCGCTAGGGCATTATTATTAGAGTACATATATTCGAACACTTGTGCGAAGCACTTTATTTGTACTAACTTCTGAATAAAAAATACATAGGTATAGGTTGAAAGGCATTAAACAATACTTGACAAGTAGTTAGATCTTTCTGTCATCAGCTCTTACGAGTTACTAACAGGCTGTGTCGAGGGGTTTTTCACTCTAGAATACTTGCGAGTACGTTATTTGATTTCATGAAGATTCTGGATAAATGCAAGTGACTTCACTGTCCAGAATAACTTAAATGCAGTGTTTCACGATATTTCATTTTATTCTAGCAACTGTAAAATAGCTCGATGAATTCTAAAAGTAAGTCGACGTTTATGCAGTATTTCAACTCGTATTCGCGCGGAATCTCTCTAAACAGCACGGTACTCCCTGATACTCCCTCATACTCTTATGTATTCCCGTCGATTCTCAGATTCTGTTCGCTGTATATTGCACAGAATTGAAGCAAAATTTAATCATTTCTTGCAGCTGAAGCAACTTGTTAAACATAAATCGAGTAAATAGTAATGAATATAATCCCTCACAACAAAAGGATATTCAGGATATCCTTGGGACGTCCTGGGGATATCGATTTGTTTTCGGCGGTTTGGATATCCCTGGGATATCTTAGAGATGTCCATGGATATCCAGAGAATATCTTAGGGATATCCGAATCGCCAAAAGCAAATGGATATCCCCAGGACGTCCCAGGGATATCCTGAATATCCTTGTGTTGTGAGGGATGATATATAATATAATTATATATTTAATTATAATTAATAATTGATAATTGTTAATAACACAGCCACATACAAAAACAAGTTTTGATCTGGGGATCTGACTATGTATACTTTATGTTTTTTGGGTCGCTGAATTCGAATCCGAGGTCCATTTAACCCCATGAAATTGGGGTTTTGACATAACCCCAAAAAACCAATATGCGGACACGTTTTTGAAAAGTTCATCGAATTCGATTGAAACTTGTTACTCGAGGGTTTTTGGGATCTCTGATTACGAATCTGAAGTCAGATTTTAAATATTCAAAATGGCACATCCAATATGGCAGACACGTTTTCACAGGAAATTAATCTTTGTCATACTAAAAATCAGAATACACCTAATATTATTTGATATACTCATGTTATTACAGATATCATAATATTATAAACGTTTTATTGAATTAAAATAAATTAAAGGCAAAAATTGCAATTTTATCTTTTACATTAAAATATAATAATTGAGAAATTTTTTTTGGAACTTTTTGTTTGAAAACTTTGTTGTATAAAAACAGAAATTAAGTTTTACTGTACACTAATTATTCTGAAGTTATAATTTGTTACTCACAAAATTTTCTAATAAAAAATTATATTTTTCAGTTATTCCCAGGTATTCCCGATATTCTCAAAAATTCTTGGCGGTTCTCACAGTATTCGTACGCTATACTGCACTATTCCTTCGTTACTCCTAAAATTCCCTTGGATTCTCTTGTTATTTCACCTGATTTGTTAATTATAGATGGTGTAAATCAAAACTCCTCAAATTTTTGGATTGAAATATTATTCGTGATTTACTCTTCATTCTTCGTTTGTTCGACAAATAATTCTGAAAATATTCTTAGCACTAAAATCGTTATATTCTAGAGTGAAAAACCCCTCGGGCTGTGTACATTCGCTAGACTTTAGACTGGACCTGAAATGTACCTGGGACGACCGTCATAAAATTATCAAATGTTGTCCCTTTGGCAATATCGTTTCAATACCAATGTAAATTGTAAATTTTGAGTCACAAATAAACAAAAATTTAAAGGGAAGTATCACCCTCAATTTTGGTGAGGGTCA